AAAAAAAAAAAAAAAAAAAAAAAAAAAAAAAAAAAAAAAAAGTATGGTTAAAAGGGGAAAACTAAAGCAGACGAACGAGCAGCTCCTCCAAGTCTCCTGCAAGCACCCATTGCAGGGGCCTGCAGCTGAGCCGGGCGGTGTGAGGCGGGACGGGCACGGGGGATCCGCAGGGCCCGAGCGGCCGCCGCTTTCCCTCTCCAGACGCGGCCCCGGCCCGGTACCGGCCCCGACAGGGATTCCTGGCAGGGATCCCCGACACGGAATCTCGGCACGGAGCCCCGCGCCCAGCCCGCCGCACTCACGCTGCCCGCTCCAGCTGCCGCAGCAGGCGGGACACCCGCGCCCTTCCCGCCGCCATGGCCCGGATCTGGGGACGGACGGGGACGGGGACGGGGACAGGGCCGGAGCCGGGCCGGGGCAGCGCCTCCTCCCGGGGCTGYGCCGCTGGCCGGCCCCGCTCCCGTCACACGGGTGACCCACACAGGGTGAGGCGACAAGTGTCCGCATTCAGYACCCCCACTCCACGGTCCTACGGTCCGTGTTGTCACAACCCAAATTACCTTTGTTTCAAGGCAAGCAAAACCTGATTGCTGAAATACACAGCACGGAATGCCAATGAGGAGTGACTAAAATCTAATTAGGACTGAATGCGTGTCGTAGTATTTGTCACAGAAAAATATCGAAAGTAATGGAATTGAAGAGTGAAAAGAATAAAAAAAGGCGCGGTCCTGAGCATGCGGCAGTTTAAAATTAAGTTACATAGTTTTCCAAATCTTTTTAGTTGTGCACAATGACAGGCTGAGGAAGAATGGCCATAAACTAAAACACAAGAAGCTTCACCTCAACATAAGAATTTCCTTAAAYTGAGGGTGGCAGAGCACTGGCACAGGCTGCCCAGGGAGGTCGTGCAGTCTCCCTCTCTGGTGACATTCAAAATCCACCTGAACGTTTTCCTGTGCCACCTGCTCTAGGTGACCCTGCCTCGGCAGGGGGCTTGAATGAGATGATCTCCAGARGTTCCTTCCAACTCTGAAATCGCATGGTAAATAACAGTGCAGAATGGATCAAAATTCTGTAACTGTATTTTTAAGATGCTCTAGCCTGTGCTGCTTAGCTGGCAGCAGTGTTATCAGTTCAAGCAAAGCTAACATTGGATTCTGACAAAAGTGTATTTTTTCTCTTGTAACAGATGTATTTTGCCTTTGCATACTCCTATGTCTTACCTGTTAGAGTTGCAAAAAAAGTTAAGGCATCAACAATGGAATTGTCTGCAATACTTTTGTAAAGACAAGCAGCTGATGTACTTCGGGTCTCCAGGAAAAGAAGTACTTCAGATATTAAAGATACAAAAAATTTCCATTTAGTAGACATGTGTCTCTACCCCATGGCAGGGTACCATCTTTAAAGGTCCCTTCCAACTCACACTACTCAATGATTCTGTGAGCAGACCAGATGAGCYGAAAATTCATGATTTTGCAAGGTGCTGAGTTTGGAAAAGCAAGTTAGTGGCCTGCTCATGCCCCYACATGAAGTTGCAAAACCTTTATCCACTTGTGAGAGCCAGAAAGTGGCAACACCACAGGAGCACCGGCACCTCTGCTCAGGTGACCACACTGCTGCTGGAAATGAACAAACTCCATGRGATTTTGGTGGAGGAAGTTGACCAATAGCTTTGTGAGCAGTACAGAATTCTTATCAGGTGTGTACATGTAACACAAAAGAACCCTTCTCTCTAGCTGAGCAGGTAAAAGATGCACCCTATGGAAATGCCTGGAAGATCAGAGGTCTGGAATGTATCTCTATAACCTTTTCCACCAGTCCCAGTGTTTGTTGCCTCTGCTTTGATAYTCGTGCTGAAGGCTTGACAACAAATGGTTGTGTCCACAAGATGATTCCTGCCACTGACAGTCCAAAGCAAGAATGCAGATTACTCAGCACAGGGGCAAGAAGCATCAGAGAGGCAAAGAACACAYCTTATGCAAGGCCCATAGGTTGGGCACCCATAGTGGGTGGTTCCACAGTCAGCCCATCAATGCTGTCCAAGCCCCAAGGTGTACCTGTCCCTTCTGCCTCGGTGGCCTCCCTCCATCAGATTTTGCTTTCTGATGCTTTTTACTGAAGCTGCCATCCTAACTGAACTGCTACAGAATGAGAYAAGAGAACTAAAGTCACCCAGCTTTTTCAAAAATTCGTTTGCAGTGAAGCAGTACAGTATCATTAAGCATTCACAAACTTCAAACTTTAAAAATCTAATTTAACTGAGATTGCTGAGACTTTTTCTGCAAACTTTTTTACCAGGGAAAAACATCTTTCCTATAGCTAAGACACACAATGAGACAGCAGATTTTTTTTTTCAATTTCAGGTGTATATGTGACACTGCAAAGTTCAAAAGAGTAATGAACMGAAGTCTGAGAGAATTTCTACTATCTGCTCTCAGACTGCTTGGTAAACACGGTAAGATTATTTCTATAAGATGGTGGATTACTGTTACTAAAGCGAGAAACATAGGCTTTGACTTGTTCAATACATTTTTCTGTTGAATTCAATGGCTGGTCCCCAGCTTTGACTTCCTTTTTTTAATCAGCAAAATGSTCTAGAAAATATGTACAACTTCTTAAGTCCAACAATAAATCTTACTRTAAGTTTCCATGTTCCTTTTGTAACTGAGCCTGAATACTACAGAGCTGAGCGGCGTAAGGAGAATTGATTCACACAGCAACAGCTCCACCGTCAGGCCACGTGCCCAAGACAGAGAGCAGCAGCCACATCCTTTTGACTGGATCTAAGGCTGTTACTCCATCAAAACTCCAGGTCACGTCTGTGGTCTCCCTCCAGTCCCAGCTACCTGAAAATGGGACTGCTTTGGTCCTGCCGGAAATGCTRCAGGCCAACTGTGAAACAAATCAGTGTGAAACCCCCACCCTGGGGGGAACTGAATRGCTCCTGACTCCATTCATAGGCCACCAATTTCCCTTGGATGGAGAACACAGCCCTCCTTGTGTACTAGCTAARAGCCAAACGCAGGGTATTTCAGAAAGGCCAGAACGCATTTATTGATAGATACGTGTGTGAATAGAGCACCGGGCAGGAGGCTGGCAGCGACAGTCCCTTCCCACGCCTCTGTGGGAATCCCCAGCCCGTGCTGCACACTGTCCCTCAAGCCTTTTTCCTCTTGCCCCCGCCGGTGCCACCACCCGCAGGTTTCTGCTGCTGTGGCTGTCGCCGGGCTCCGCTCTTCTTGCCGCTGCGTCCAGGCCGCTGCTGCCGGCGGCCGCGCTTGCCCCGCTTCGACTGCTTCTTGCCCTTGTTGGCGGCGGCCGCCTCGGCTTCCTCCTGTCGCAGCTGCTTGTTGACGGCGCGGGTGATGTCGAGCACCGGCTTCTTTTTGCCCATGTCCCGCAGCATCTCCAGCTGCCGGCTGCGCTCGGCCGCCAAGTTGCCCAGCAGAGGYTCGAAGCGGCGTTTCTTGCCGCCGCTGCGGGAGGGCAGCTCSGCCGGCTCCTTCGGCAGCCGCGGCTGGAAGCGGCCGAGCGAGGCGGTGGAGACGCGKGCGACGCGGGCGACATGGCGCAGCTCGTCGCGGTCCTGGTGGCCGGTGGGGTGCAGGGGCGCGGCGGGCACGGCGCTGCCGGCGCGGTGGGCTCGGGCCAGGTTGCGCAGCCGGTTCAGCTCGTTGCGCGCCACCCGCTCCCGCTTCTCCCGCCGCAGCCGGGCGAACTGGTCCTCCTCGGGGTCGGCGCCCGCGGGCACCTCCGCCAGCCAGGCGCGGGACGGGTCTCCGCCCGCCCGTCGGTAGCCCCAGCGCCGCCGCCACTCCTTGGCCTGCTCGTCCCACACCAGCGAGGTTTTCTTCTTGCGGCGGATGCCCTTCAGCCGCGCGAACTGCTCCCAGCGCGTCGGCGGCCGCGGCTTCGGCGGCGGYTTCTCCCGCGGCAGGCGGAAGGTGGGCTCGGGCAGCTGCGCCACCAGCGGGCCCCCGGCACCGCCGGCACGCTCGGCCGGCAGCTCCCAGAGCCGGGACACGAGCAGCTGCGTGTTGTCGCGGGCCAGCGCCCGCAGCAGCGCCTCCCGCCGCGGGCCGGCCCCGCGCAGCGCCGCCGCCGGCGGGGGGTTGCGGTCCAGCGCCAGTAAGTTGCCCAGGTCGAACTCCAGCTCCAGCTCCTTTTCCACCGTGATGCTCCGCCGYTTCTCCGCCTCCTGCTCCTCGGCGGCCGCCAGCACCGCCTCTACCCGCACGGCCGCCATGGCAGCGGCTCCACGTGCGAGCGGCGCCGCCGCTGCCCCGGGAATGCGGCAAAGCTCCGCCGGGTCAGCGCGCCGGAACCGCCGCGCCGAAACAGCCGTGCCCCGGGGGCGCCGGGATCGGCGCAATGCCCGCCGGGAGATGTAGTCCCGTCGCGCCGGCCCGCCAGAGGGTGCTGTGCCACCCCACAGACCGTCCCGGGGCCCGCGGCCGGCGTGTCACTGCYGCTGTGGTGTCACTGCCGCTGTGGTGTCACTGCCGCTGTGGTGTCACTGCCGCTGTGGTGTCACTGCCGCTGTGGTGTCACTGCCCCGGGGTGTCGCCGCCGTCGGGATGTTACCGCCGCTGTGGTGTCACCGTCGCTGGGGTGTCACCGCGCCTCAGCTCCTCTGCCACAGGACCCTACGGCCGTGGCTTATGGGCAGATGCTTCCAGTCACACCATCATGGAATCAATTAGGCTGGAAAAGCCCACTGTTGTCGTCAAGTTCAAACTGTGACCAAACATCACAATGTCAACTAGACCAGGGYGCTGAGTGCCACGTCCAGTCTTTYCTTAAAAACTTTCAGAGGTAGTGATGCCACCACTTYCCCCTRGGCAGYCCATTCCAATGTTTAATCACTCTTTCAGTGAAAGAATTATTTATAATATCYAGCCTGGACCTCCCCTGGTGCAGTTTGTGTCCTCTTCTCCTGTCACTGTTGACTGAGAGAAGAAGCTGCATTCCAGCTGGCTACAASAGCCTTTCACATAGTTGTAGAGAAGGATAAGATCATCCCCGAGCCTCCTCTCCTCAGGGCTAAACAACCCTGGCTCCTGTGGCCACTCCTCATAGGACTTAACCTATTGGACCTTTCACCAGGGGTACCACCAATGATGCTCATGAAATCCCCAGTGTCTCCCAGTCTGGGGTTGTGCAGAGTTCAGGGTGGCCCCAAATCTGTCTCCTGCTACCACTATGAGTGGTGCTGAGGTGGAAAATCTTTGGGAAGAACCAGCACATGAGGGGAGGCAAATGCCAAAAGCAGACAGGTGGGACCATACCAGAGTCAACAGAGTCAAAGCTTCCTTTGCCTTTGCCTGCACGAGGGACATGCCATGGCACCCATACACGGAGCAGGGCAGGCACTGAGGCACAGGAACATACTTTCCCCATGAGGTTTGTTTTTTTGTTTGTTTGTTTGTGTTTTTTTTGGTCGTTTTTGTTTTTTTGTTTTGTTCTGGGTTTTTTTGTGTTTTTTTTTTTTTTTTTTTTTTTTTTTTTTTTTTTTTTTTTTT